CTTTAAGTTGTACCTACACTTTCTCAAAATTCTTTATGGTACAACTCAAAATTGTACCTATACTAATGGTACAACTTTTAGTTGTACCTACACTTTCTAATAAATCCCTTTATGGTACAACTCAAAATTGTACCTATACTAATGGTACAACTTTAAGTTGTACCTACACTTTCTAATAAATCCCTTTATGGTACAACTCAAAATTGTACCTATACTAATGGTACAACCTTAAGTTGTACCTACACTTTTTCAAAATCCTTCTATGGTACAACCCAAACTTGTACCTATACTATGGTACAACTTTATGTTGTACCTACACTTTCTAACAAATCCCTTTAAGGTACAACTAAAAATTGTACCTATACGAATGGTACAACCTTAAGTTGTACCTACACTTTCTAACAAATCCCTTTATGGTACAACTAAAAATTGTACCTATACTAATGGTACAACCTTAAGTTGTACCTACACTTTTCCAAAATCCTTCTATGGTACAACCCAAACTTGTACCTATAATATGGTACAATTTTAAGTTGTACCTACACTTTCTCAAAATTCTTTTATGGTACAACTCAAAATTGTACCTATACTAATGGTACAAATTTAAGTTGTACCTACACTTTCTAATAAATCCCTTTATGGTACAACTCAAAATTGTACCTATACTAATGGTACAACTTTAAGTTGTACCTACACTTTCTAATAAATCTCTTTATGGTACAACTCAAAATTGTACCTATACTAATGGTACAACTTTAAGTTGTACCTACACTTTCTAAAAATCCTTCTATGGTACAACCCAAAATTGTACCTATATCATGGTACAAATTTAAGTTGTACCTACACTTTCTAACAAATCCCTTATGGTACAACTAAAAATTGTACCTATACTAATGGTACAACCTTAAGTTGTACCTACACTTTCTCAAAATTCTTTAATGGTACAACCCAAACTTGTACCTATAACATGGTACAATTTTAAGTTGTACCTACACTTTCTAATAAATCCCTTCATGGTACAACTCAAAATTGTACCTATACTAATGGTACAACTTTAAGTTGTACCTACACTTTGTGAAACAAATTCTTCAATGGTACAGCTGAAACTTGTACCTATACTAATGGTACAACTTTAAGTTGTACCTACACTTGTATACATTGATTCATTATTTACAAGATTGCCATTAATGATGTGGGACCAGTCATTTAGTGGGTTTACCTCCTCAATAGGTCACCTTTTTTTTTTGTTTTTTATCGCATGGGTGCTATAGAGCACACTAGAAGGTAACGTAACTTAGAACACTCCAGGTTCGATTTTCTGGTTATTCGCCGAACACCCTCGTTCGAACGTAGTTTGGAGAGGTGGTGAACCGAATAACGGTTGTTTGATTAGAAGTCAAAGGTGTATCGATCAAATCAACATCGCCGACGCCGACGCCGGCGGTGGATATTTGACGGTCGTTTTGGTTTCTGTTTTAATCGATCAAATCAACGGCGCCGACTTCGGCGACGGATATTTAACGGTTGTGTTGACCTTGTGTTTGTGTTTTACTTGAAAACAGTGCGCATTGAACACGCGAGTTTCGCCAACGAAACAACTTCCTGGAGCAAAAAGCAGATGATTTTTTGTCCCTAATGCTTATTAATTTTGTAGTGACATTAGACAAATGAAACAATTAGATTCATTGACAATGCAATAGGTTTAAGGATGGATATGTAGATGGAGCAATATAGAGCCGCCTTGGTTATTCTGCCTACAAAAAGAAGAATAGAAAGATAGAATTAAAGCATTGATCTATGAGCAACTAAGCATTAAGAAAGTCCCTCGCCAATCTAGCTCCAAAATGCATTGTTCCTCCAAAATTTTAGAAGCATTTAGAAAATTTTCTACCCTGGTGGTCTTCCAAAGTCTAAACGGCCCAAAAAATATTGGCCTGTAAATAAGATAGAGAACTCAAACTGATTTTCTCAAACTAAGCAGTTGAAACCTTCTCTTAGATAATCCAATTATCATATCATATATATTAGTTCTAATACTCAATTAATTAACAATCACAAACAAAGGTGGAGTAGTCTTTGGCACTTGAAAGACAAGAAGTTTGTCCATTTTAGATTGATCAATAGCCGATTGCAATAAAGCAAATTATATAAGGAAACCATCCATATATATGTTTTGATTATGTATATTCGTAGTTGTTGGAATGTATGTTAGTGTTTATTGGTTCACCGCCAACCAATCGCTGACCAAAACGATAAAATATGGTTAACTGATAAAATTTATCGGTTTGGTTATTGATATGAACTTTTTTGCTTATTGGTTAACCACTAACCGTCATATCGGTTAGTGATTAACCGGCACGGAACCGATTACCACCCTACTTCCTTGATCCATACACATTATGTTTTGGTGTCTGACTAGGCTACCGTCTTTTTTTTTTTACAATAACTAGGCTACCGTCTCAGTGAATTGTTATTGTCAGCGTCAAATGTTGGGAGTACATTGATTCGGATATTTCGTCTAGCAGCCATAGAAATCTCTCTCAATTGTTATTATTTCATCATCATCTATCATTTAAGAGAGTGGCTAAGATTTGGTCATGGCACTGTAACTTTACCTAAAAGTTGGCTAAGATTTGGTCATGCAACTGTTGTAATTTTACCTAAAAGTTAATGCAGTTTTAGCACCCGTCACTCGGCCATGTGGCTTGGTACAACTAAACCAAGTAAAGCCACTTAGCTACTTGCACATCATTTTTTTCTTTTTTTGGTAGCAACATAAAATTTTACCTACTGCCATAGTGCTTTAAAGAACGAAACTTTCAATTGGGATCATTATGATTCAGAGGAATGATAGAGCTCAAGGCAGAGGCTGTGAGCCCTAACGGGCTCTACTTGAACAGCTCAATATTGTCCCTCCACATCGTTGCTGTTCTTGAAACCGAAATGCCTTTCGATGATTGTCAAGCTGCTTTGTTGATCAAATCCGTGTTCCTCCCAATCAACCCTCGCTTCTCCTCCATTATGGTAATGTGATGCAGCATCTTCTTAGATTCTTTCAGATAATCCGTGGTAGGTTGTATCGATCATTATATTTGATTCTGAAGACCTCGTATATTTTGCTGAAAAATGTATCGATAAACTTGATGAGATTGCAAATGTTTAGTGGAATTATCATTTATGCCTAAGTGCAATGAACATGTAATGTGTGCGACCTCATTTAATGAAACATGTTATGCCCATATTTTGTAGGTCACGGGTCCAAACGGAGAAAAGCAATGGAAGGGAGTGGAAGTGAACTTGAGGAAGCACATCCACACTCCAATATTCCCAGGAGGAGAATCCCCTGAATTTTACGACGAATGTTTGGCCGACTACCTCTCCGAGCTGTCGGCGGAGGAGCTGCCGTCGAGCCAGCCGCTATGGGAGATCCACATCGTCAAGTACCCAACAGTCACCGCCGCCGGCAGCATAGTTTTCAAGCTCCACCACGCGCTCGGCGACGGCTACTCCCTCATGGGCGCCCTTCTCTCTTGCCTTGAGCGAGCCGACGACCCTTCTCTTCCCCTGACTTTCCCAGCTCTCTGCTCCCTGGACGCCAAGGACAACAGCGTCGCCGGCTGCATCAATGTACTGATGAACGGCGCCGTCCTGGGGGTGAAGAGAGCAGGCAAAGTTTTCTCCGCTGCCTGTAATACAATGTCGGATTTCTGTTTCAGCTTGATCATGAGCACCCTGGTCGAGGACGACGTCTCTCCGCTTCGATCTGAGAGCTCGGCGGTGGCCACGGAGTTTCGGCCCGTTTCCATAGCCGGAACCGCGTTCTCCCTCGATCAGATCAGGGAAATCAAGTCCAGGATCGGAGCGGTAAGAGCAAGAAAACCCTAATTCGTGCGATTGAAGTAACCCCCTGTTTCTCCCCTGCTATTTTTACACCTTGTGTTGCTGTTCGATATTCGGCAGACGATAAACGATGTGATTACAGGAGTAATCTTCCTAGGAGCTCGGCTGTACATGGAAGAGATGGAACCAGGATCAGGGGACGCAAGTGCCACGGCATTGGTGCTGTTGAACACCAGGATGGTGGGAGGTTACACATCGATTCAGGAGATGGCAAAACCTGACAGGAATTCCACCTGGGGGAACCGCTTCGCTTTCTTGCACGTTCCCATTCCCAAGCTGCAGGGGAATCAAGATCAAGATCCACTTGAGTTCATCAGAAAGGCCAGGAGAATCATCCTGAAGAGGCGCAACTCGCTGGCGGTCTACCTCACTGGTAAAACCCTGGACCTCATCAGGAAAACCAGGGGTCCAGAGGTAAAAACTGCAGCAAACTACTTTTGGCTTAATTTGTGTTTCCGGATCCTGTAAGTTGAGCGGGGGGACATAAAGCTGTGTCACGATTGTTGGCAGGCGGCAGCAGGGTACGTATCGAGGACGATCAGGAGCGCGAGCTTGGTGATTTCCAATGTGATTGGCCCCATGGAGAAGGTCTCCGTCGCGAAGCAGCCCGTGAAAGGGATGTACTTTTTTGTGACAGGCAAGCCTCAGGTATTTTCTGATACATCACTCACTCCCAACAATTTTCTCATTAGAAATGGTGTTTAGTGTTTACATTGACGAGCCCTTTTGGTTGTTTGGCAGAGTGTTGGAGCATCAGTGGTGAGCTATATGGGGAACCTGAGAGTAACCGTGGGAGCTGAGAAAGGCATTGTAGATACCAACAAGTTCATTTCTTGCATTGAAACTGCATTCGAGATAATACTCCACTCTTCCCCCACCTAAAAATGGTACTAATTAAGATTCGGTCGTGGTGGCTTCTGAAGATCGAAATTCTATAGGTTCCTTGTCTGTACTTAAATTGGTCATTCAGATTGAGATCAAAGGTTTTTCACAAATCGGATAACTGAAAGCAGAGACAGAAACAGAGAAACTGGGAACGCAATACGAAAATTGCTCCGAAATCTGAACGTCGTCGTAGTAACTCGCCTACAAACATTGACTTACATAATCAAGATTCCAACCAACAACAACCCGATTACATGCCGATCTCCCATCCTGTTGGCTCCATTTGAGTAATTACTGGTAATCTCGTTTCCAGGTGCTGGAGATAGCGAGCTGTTGTTCTCTACGTCCCCAGATGGGGATGGCTGAGAAATGGGCGCATGAGGCGGAACAGGGGACGGCGGCGGCGGGGAAGGGGAAGCCGGCGTCACCGGCAGCGGCGATGCTGGCGGATGTGGTGCGGTGGTGGCAGGAGGTAAAGGTGCAGGGGATGATGGTATAATTAGCGGTGGAGCGGTGGGCGGCCTCTGGTGTACGACGACGGCGACTCTGAGGCCGAGATCACAGTAATTGGACACATTACAAATGTAGTAGAAAACGCCGGCGTGAGATAGCTCGACGACGGCAGGACCGATTGTGAAGACCTGCAAGGGAGCGTTGGAGATGCAGCTCTCGAAGTCGTGCCTCAGCACTTGTACCACGTTGAACAATTCCGTCGCGAACTGGAAAGCTGGGAAATCCGGCCAATGACTGATAGGAATGGAATTACTGCAATGGAGACGATTGTAATTAAGGGAAATGATTGTGGATGATCAACTGTACCGAGAGAGTCTCCGACGTAGAAGGCGTGGGCGGAGGACCAGCGGGAGTAGAAGTCGGAGGTGGGCGGGATGGACCAGATTGAGTCGCCGACGGTGTAGCGGAATCCTGACGCGGCGCCAAGTAGTAGCGTTGCTGCTGCAATGGCCAGTGTGATGCCATGGTGGCGCTTGGGAAGACAGGCCATAGCAGAGAGAGAGAGAGAGAGAGAGAGAGAGGATTCTGGAACTTGAAAGGAGGGAAGGTAGTGGGGCTGATTGTTTCTTGATTCTATTCGTTTTCTGCTTGAAATGGGCGGGGAAAGTTGTAGAGTTCAATGGTAACTGATGGTAATCAATTCGTGAAATGGGATTATTGGACTGCCTGCCTGCTTGGTTGGCAGAGTTATGAATGAATGAATATTTATAATTCAGCCAACGGTAGAGTTGTGTCATCATTCAGGTGCTACGATGGTTGTTTCAAACCAAGTTATCCCTGCTGCAAACCCCGAGATATTATTACAACGAGGGATGAACAACAATCAAACTCATTTTTCGATTCAATAGAAGCCCAAAGAGGTGAATAGAATAGGGTTCCAAATGATGTGTTATGTTTCAATTTGTACCGGTGTAATAGGACTAGCCATATTGTGGCAAAACAAGTTGGTTCATGGTTAGTTCGTACACTTGTCAACCAATATTTTGTTTCCTATTTTGATGATGTAACTTGACTTGCAAAAATCGAATATATTTTCGAATATAAACGGTGCTGAGGTTCTCCTTTGAAGATACCTATGGGCTATGACAAAAAAGAGTAGAGTTGTGTCACCTACCCCTAGGTTAATATGTAAGATGAGAATTTTGCGTGAAAAGATAGAATAATTAATCTTGTTACAACCTTTTTCATTTTTACAAGAAAGTTGCATGCACTTCACTTTAATAGTGAAACAAAGGTTAGGGTCAAAAGGCACATGAAAAGATACTGTACTAGTAAAAGAAAAGTTCATTACAAAAAAATCAGATGAATCGGAAAGTGAAGCCCAATTAGAACAGGTTCACAAAGATAACGCACATTTTTCTATAATACTCAATGAAAACATCAACCCAAGCTGTCTTCTCTTCTCCATCCTGAGCCACCGGCCAAAAAACTAGAGCCACCGAGAAATCCAATCCGCCGACCAGCAGATCACCATGCAATGCAATGAATCCAAAGCCAAAATGAAAGACATGCACAACCAGAAGGACCACAAAGACTAGAGAAACGGCTTCTCACATTAATAAAGAAGAGAGGCAAGCTTGAAGAAGATGCATCCCTGACTCCATCATTAAAAAAAATCAGCATCCAGGTTGCTGCATCATGTGAGGAGACCTTTGCATCTTCGAAACATTGACATGATGAATAAAGTCGGGAGATAGTTGAGAGGTTAGATGGTGAGAAGACAAGCTACCAATCAGAGATCCATGCCCCCTTTTTCCATTGATAAAATCTCAAAGCACATCTTAAGGACCAAAAAAAAGTGTATGTAGCTGGAAACATCCATCTCACAAAGAGAGGTAGAAGGAAAATCTCACGGAAGGGTAGGAAACAGACAGATGAAGGTGGAAAGACAATGCAAAAAGCAGAAAAAGAAATAAGAGTGTTTACTCTTTGTTTGGCAACGATGTGTTACAAATTAAGTTCTAAATTTTAGAAGGAGTAAATTTAAGGGAGTGTAAATTATTGTTTGGGATAAAGGTAAGGGTTTGTATAAAGTGGGTGTAAAACAAAAAATATTTAAAATATAAAAACTAAATTGTCCCACATTTCCACTACTCTGGGCCCACCTTCCACTAATAAGAACCAAAACTCGTACTCATCACTCACTTCCCCTCTCCTCTCCTTCCCATTTGCACCCACCTTCCACGTTTAGAAATTACCTATGTGAGTGTGAGGTAGAGTCACTTCAAGGAGAATAAAAGAAGGCCAATTCTCTAAGCACTTATAAAATCAGGCGGTGTTCATGGCTAAAACGAACACAGCAATGAGAACTAGTGAGCGGATAAGAGTTAGTTGTGTGACATATGTTGTTTAGTATATATAGAAGAAAAAACCGACAGTTCAAAGATATCATATCTACCGATTAGTGAATGTACTCGAATATGTTCACTAGGGAAGGTTCAAAGAGAAACCCACCTATCCCGGTGCAACTAGTTCGTAGTTGAGTCACACAGTTTTTGCATAGTTTTCAAAACTATTGCATCCTCCATTCATGTGGGGGATTGTTGAGATTTTGAATGGTGTGGATGAAAATGAAGGGGGAAGGAGCCAAGAGAAACTCTTGAAATATCATGTTGGTTATATATGGGAAGGACTATTGCTTCAAGGATTTTATAACGAGGATTTTGTCATGGATTTGTTAATTAAAAACCTTGGGATTTATTAGGGATTTTGGGCATTATGAATTTGAGAAAATCCTTTGTTTGTTGAGCTATGTTTATCATGAATTTGATGGTTTTTCAGCTTGTCTCCAAATCCCAGGGTATGAGGTGGGATTTATAAAATCGTGGGGCCCATGGATTTGGAGAAAAAAAAACCCAAATCCGTGGGGCCAACAGATTTATCTAAACATTTTTTGACAAAGCAAACAACGGATTGTGTGTAAATCCATAATGGTTGGTTTTTTTATACCAAATCTATGATGCAAATCCTTGAAGCAAACGACCCCTAAGTCTCTTTGCATTACATGGAACACCTGGTATCGTGATTAATAATTTAACCGTTAGTTGAAGAACACAACGTGTATGATAATCACTGTTATTATGAGGGTAGGTAGACTATTTACCATTAATAATCATGATATCAGAATGCATGGGTCATGAACTAATCACGATAGCACAAGGTCCGGGCTATTTACCAATTACCACCCATATGGACGAAGTAGAGAGCCACATAAAATCCCTCTCCATTTTATTTCATAGAATTTCCCGGTCACCTTTTCCTAGAACACATTCTACTTAAACATGTACAACACCTTTTACTTCCATATTCATTGTCTTTCCCCACAGGATCGAATGTGCTAGGCTGGAATGTGAGGCACAGTAAACTAATTATCACGACCTGACCTATGGATCTTCTTCAATCAATTTTTTTTTTTACATAATTTCTACATCAATATCTTTATCTAACTATTAGATAGTGTTGACCTTTAAACTTATGCAATCATATATTCTACTTCTTACATAAAAGGGAATTCCCACGCGTGCTATTACCTTAACCAATTTTCATATTAGACTCTAAACTTTCTTCGGTAGTAACGTTCACAGATTTTATTGGTGAAGTTCATCATACTCAACCGACCTTTCAACTTTGTGGAGAAACTCCCCATAAAAAGTTCAAACATGTGCCCTTAAAACTATTTGAGTTATTTATCTAACTTACATTGTTATTTCATATTGACTTGCATTATTAAAATATTCAGCCCAACTTACATATCACCTCATGCGCATTCGGGACCTTTTATCAGAATTTTTTTTTTATAATGGTGATGGGATTTATAACCAGAAAAGGGAAATCAAAAAGAGTCATGGACCTGTACAGAGAAGGGTCAACAGAATTGAACCCAACAGAGAAAAACCAGAAGCGGGGAAGAAGAAAAGAAAAACAAAAGGAGGAAGGCGGGCCGAACCGCCCCTGGCCCGAAAGTCCCAGAACAAGGGACGAAAGCAAACTGAACTGAAAGCTCAGAACAGTCTCAAAACAAAGAAACGATCCCCAATAGCAACGGGAACGAGGAACGCCAGGATCAACGTACCCAAAAACATACCCAGATCCAATCTCGTTCTGAACTGCCCACCAAATTTGCCAGGATCACCTTCAAAATCAGTTCCTTTCCATCAATTCTCTGAACCAGCTCTCTCCCTGATTGTTATCGATCTTTCCGTGTGCTGCAATCCATTCCATTACATTTCTAGCAGCTCTTTTTGCTACAATGTATGTTGTCGAATCCTTGCCTTCGAACACCCTTGAGTTTCTTTCCTTCCACACAAGCCACCAAACTGAATGTAATATACAGTTCTTGAACCACTCTTCCACGCTATCCAGTTTACTGATTGTGTGATGCTTGATGATTGATGGGATATCACTTCCTTGCAGATTCATGATATTCTTGTGTCGATTTATAACTTGCCAAACCTCCTTGATGAAATGGCAATCCTTGAGCAGATGAGCAACCGTCTCCTCTTCGCTGCGACAGAGGCTACATCTGTTCGCCATCGACCATCCTCTTTTCTTCAGGTTGTCAACAGTAAGAATTCTGTTTTGGTACACCAGCCACAAGAAAAAACAAATTTTGCTTGGAATGATTGACTTCCAGATTTGCTTGTGAGGGAATGTTTGATTTCTTTGAAACCTGTCTTCCACAATATTCTTGTAAAGGGCTCTCACCGAAAACCTGCCATTAGGGTCAGCATTGCAAACAATTCTACATGGGCTGTAGAGATTATTAGTAAGACTAATGTTACCCAGATATTCCATTAATTCAATTCTCTCTCTCTCTCTCTCTCTCTCTCGGCACTCCCCCTTAAATTGAATCTCAAAGGAAGACACCAACTCACCTGATCAGAGTTGTTAAGGGATACAACATCGGATATCATTGCTTCGGGGTCGGTGGCAGCGGCAGCAACACGTGGGAACGACTTGGACAGAATCATCCTCGGAATCCAACAGTCATGCCAGAAAGAAATCGACAATCCATTACCAGGCTCCACAGTGGCGAAGTTCCAGAACCAGTCATACTCTTTTGAAATGTTTGCCCATACCGATTGAGAAAACCCATGGTTCAATCTCTCTGTCTGCCAAACCGAAACAGGATGTTGGTATTTGATTGCGATTAACTGCCTCCACCAACTATCTCTTTCAACAGCATATCTCCACAGCCATTTCGAAAGCATCGCGTCGTTGAAAGCCTTTAAATCATGGATACCGAGACCGCCCTTCTTCTTCTCTCCCTTACAACTTTCCCAATCCACTAACGCCATTTTCTTATTCTCCACCGAAACATTCCACAGAAACCTCTTTTGGACCTTCTCCATATCCTTGATGATCGACGCTGGGGCCTTGAACAATGAGAACAAATATGTCGGCATACTCGAGAGAACTGCTTTACAAAGCACCAGTCTCGCACCGGAAGACAAGAGCTTACTTCCCCAACCATTCAGTTTATTATGGAAC